TTTTTTTTTTTTTTTGGTACCAAGATCAAGGCAGGCATGGCACCATTGAGCCAAATCCCCAGCCCTTTCCCAACATTGTTTAAAAACACTCTGGAAGGACAGACAATAAATCCTCCAATACCTATTTGTAACTAATTAAACACCAAAAACTTCAACAAGGAAAGATGAATTCAGTAGCTGGGCATAAAGCTCTGGTGTGTGTCAGCTTCCATGAAGAAGCCCGGGAAGGGGGAGTTTGGAGCTGAGGCACTGCTGGTGGCTTTGTACTGGTGAGCTCCTATATCTTGTTTGCTAGCTCTTTAGGCAACAACCCTCCTCCCAAATATCACAAGGCCTTATTTTTTAATGTGCTAAGCAGGATTATATAAAGTGAAACTTGCTGAGAGTTGGAACCACCTATATTTTTCAAGTTTAACATCAACAAACTTAGGACAAACAAAAGGGAACAGAGTACAGGCAAACTCATGGAGCTACTGAGGTACAAAGTCACAGAGGCTAAAATTATCATAGCCTACAGGACAGAGTTCAACCCAAGAGAGACACAGGCACTGCAAGATGAACATGATTGAAGATATCTCTAAACTTTTCAAGTTGCTAGCAAGGGAGACAATCTCATCCTCCCCTCTACACAGCCCTCTAAGAGTGTCAGTGATCTCGTGACCACACCAGCCACAAGCAATTTCCCCTAAATTACTGTATACATGAACCCTGAAGCTCCCCGGTACACTGTGTTGTGCTTAACCGTGGACACGTCTCCTCCTCCCTGATGAATGTATGTGCTTCGCTGGTCAGCACATGGAAGGCACCAAGATTTGCTGAGCAGGAAACATAAACCAAACTACCCCCAGAACTTGCTGTGGCTGGCTTTGCTTATGGGTCCCAGCCTCAGCCTGGAAGAAGATCCTTGCCTATCCTCATCCTTACCCTCACCTGTCTAGCAGCGACAGTGAGCCTTTTAGAGCTTTCAATGATTCAAACAGCTCGCTGCCCTAGGGCTCACTCCTCTGGCAGAGGGGCCCACAGTACTGTCTTCTTTTGCTCCATCGGTCTCGTAAGGTGGGACTACCCACTTTTTCCATTCACTGACTCTCCTAGGCTGTCCTCGTGAGTGAACATAGTACCTGCATGGCACACATTCCTCCTTGCTAGGTTGGTCATCCACCAACCACATTACTGGGCAATGGCCCTCCAGGCAGCAGGGGCTGGCAAACACATTTTCTATGCTGTCGCCTTTCCCTGGGAGACACTGGCCTAAAATTTAATATGCAGGTTTCTTTCCATAGAGTCATCTGTTTACATTCATATGAGCAACAGATAGTGATGTGAAAATGGAAAATGGGAAAAAAGGAAGGCAGGGTTGTATGTATACAAATCCTACTTGGAAAGCTGGTGGTCCAGGGACCACCCCACTCTTCTTGGAATCAACACAGTCCAGTTTGCCTGGTTACAAGGGGAAATGGCATTCTGGCCTCCCAGACTGGATGTATTGCTGGTGTGTGATGTGTTGCGCAGGTTTGGGGCACCTGCTGCTATTCCCCATAGGCACACTCACTCCAGAAGGCATGTGGCTCTCTCATGGCATCCTACCCCTCCCCCTGCACTCCTGTCCTGGTATCTTTGGTCCATACCCTTCTTCTCCCTTCCACTTTATACCAAACTACACAACACATCCTCTTCGTGCCTCACTTCCTCTCCAGAGCCTTCCCTCTGATTGATTTTATTTTTGTAATATTTGCTGTTAATCGCACATAGAATCACGTTAAAAAAACACCATCTCCCTTTTTTATGTCTTACGTCTACTGACGTGTAAGCTCTCACAGGACAGAGACTTACTTTCTATTTGTCTGGCATCTTCCAGGGCTCCTTTGGTGACCATCTATAACCTGCCCATCAACAATTCTTCCTATTGGGAGATAGGGTCTATTCCCCGTGATACCTGGCCTGAGGTGATCTGTATTGGTCAATAGCATGTTAGGCAGTAATACTGTGGTAGTTCTGGGACCAGGCCTTAAGGAGCCATAGCTCCTGTATTCATCCTCTTGGAAGACAGCAGCTCAGGCTAGGCCAGTGATTGGGAGAGCAGGTGGAAACAGAGGCCACTTGGAGGAGGATGGAGGCCTCAGTCATGGGAACGAGGCTATTTTGGATCTTTTGGCCCCAGTCAATGTCATGTGGAACACAGACATGATGTCCCCACTGAGATTTGTGAGTATTACTGATCTATACAATTGTGGTTACTGCTTTAAGCCACTAAATCCTAAAAGGTGTTTCAGTTATGTCTCATTGGTCAACTGGGGATTTCTAGAATCTTTGTTCCTACTAGAGAGTTAAGGACACAAACCCTTCCATGTGAGTAAAATCTGCCCCAGTGCTAATTTCTTACAGTACGTGCTCACCAGAGCTGTAACCCATGAAGAATGGCTACTCACCAGGTTCTCATTGGTCAGCCAGGATATTTCCTGCTGGACACCAAATTCCACCTGGGCTTCTGGGGAGAGCAGCAGTGTCTGGCAGAAGGTCTGTTGCTGTTTGTCCAGCTCCTCTTTCAGAGCCTCCACCTGGGCCTTGAGACTTTCCACTTCCTCCTCGTGTTCTAGGCTCTGGGCCTGCAGCTGTGCTTCCAGCAGCCTGCAGTGAGGAAAGGAGGACAGGTGACCACCTGGATTGGGATGGCTCCCCCAGCTGAGGATCACAGACAGAAACACAAGAGGGGAGCGGCCAAGCACACGGCAGCAAGGGGTGTCGCCAGTGGGGGTTGATGCAGGGATACAGACACTGTGGAGCTCATCAGGCAAGCAGGCCAACCTGTCGTCCTCTCAGAGGACAGGAAGCCAAGGCCAGAGGCATTCCTGGATTTAGGCCTTTTTCTTGACTTGTTGCTCATTCTGTGAGCTTAATCTCTTGTTTTGGGACTGAGACACTATCTCCAAGGCAAAATATTAGGACAAGTAAATTTCTTATAGTGTCTTTTCAATTCAAGCATTCATTTGAACTGCCCCATAGTTCATAGGAATCATTAAGACAAAACTCCAGTAAGCTGGGCTAATTATATTATCTTACTTATAGGAGATTCCCTACAAATTTCAGAAAGGAAAGAGGCTTATACTTTTCCAATTTGTCTTCACCATTACTACCCCCATTTTATCCTACATATGCAATTTTTATATTTTCCATCCAACCGAAAATAACTTGTAGCTCGGTGTGGTGGAACACACCTGTAATCCCAGCACTTAGGGAGGTGGAGGCAGGAGAATTGCAAGTTCGAGCCCAGCCTGGGCAACTTAGCAAGACTCTGTTTCAGGGGGAAAAAAACAGAGGTTTGGAGATGTAGCTCATTGTGAAGCATTGTGAAGGCAATAGGTTTAATTGCTACTACTAAAAAAAAAAAAAAAAAAAAAAAAAACCAAACAAAAAAAAAAAAAAAAAAAATCAACTTGTATCATGGGTTGGGGAGAAGGCTTAGAGACCGAGTCTAAAAGGCCAAAGGACAGGGCTCCCACACTTTGGGGAGGCTCAGCACAAAGTTTAGCAGAAGCCTCACTTATGGGAGCTGCACCACTGTGGCAACACTGCTGTCTTTTGGGGTAACAAACTCAGCTTTTGGATTCAGTCAGCCAACTTCACAGGAAATAAAGGTAGGGGTGGCTGGATGAAAGGGTCTATATAGAAAGCTTGCCCAGTCTGGCCTGCATGGGGTGACACTTCCCAGCCATTTCCTGAAGTACAGTAAAGACTATGATTGGAACTGGGCATAGAGTTAAGAAGTGGGCAGTGCTCAGGGGACAGCTGTTGGAGCCCCCCACTGCTGCACAGCAGAAATGAGTACAATGTGGCTCCCAGAGCCTTCTCAAAAAAATGACACAATGAATGAGCATACGATCAAGGACTCACCTCTTTACTACAGATCTACTATCAATGGAAAATAATATCAATATTGGCTACAAAACACTAAAAGTAATCACCAGGGTGTTGTAAATTTAACAAGGGCAGGAGCACCTGGTTCTAGGTGTGCTGTCCAAGGATGCTCTTCATGACCTAAGCTGTGTGTTCCCTGTTCGTGACTGCATTACTCCCAAGTGGGCCATGGCAGATTCAGCCAAGGCTTGGTGCAGGCCTTGGGGCAAGCCCTGTCCAAGCATCAGGCTAACCTCCACGACGTGCAAAGGAGAAAGATACGGCTGAGAGAGGATCCAGGCCACAGCCAGGGTAAGGCTATTTTAGTTATTTGTTTTTATTTGTATTTTAAAAAATTTTTTGGTACCAGGGATCGAACTCCAGCCCTTGTGCTCGTGAAGCAGGCTGTGGAACCACAGAGCTAAATCCCTGGCCCAGGCTGTTTTAAAAAATTAGGTCTCCTGATGCACAAACTGTGTGCTATTTTATTAACACATTCATTACTTACTCATTACAGTGCACCTGATTTTCTGACAGAGTGGAATGAGGAATGATCTAGTTTGGTACGTGGGTCCTTCCAATAAAACACATTTCTGAGTGGGCAGTAATGTGATATTTTTGAATAATAACCACCCTAGTAACATAAGTAGCAGTTATCTAATGCTTACCCTGCTTGCCACATGCCAGGTGTGTGCAAATAGCTTTACCTTCATTAATCGCTTTCCTTATCATAACTCTGTGCAGCAGGTCATGTTCTGATTCACTGCCTTCCTGTGAGGAACCCCATCCAAGGTCACCTTCCTCACAGCATAGAGGGCCACAAAGGAACCAGAGAAACCCTTAAGAGCCAGGAGACACGCTACCTCTCTTGTTGCTAGGACAGAACCTTTACCACATTATCAGTGGCAGTAAGAAGATGGCCACCTGAGAGGCGAGCATCAGTGAAGGGTGCCTGCGATGGTGCCAACTCTCTGAACCTATTTCCTCTTCTGGGAAACAAACCTAAATAGTGTCACCCCATCTCTTGTTAAGAAGCTCAAAAAAGCTATGGCACAGCCCCTAAAAGTCACATACTAGCAACAAACATGAAGGCCATTGTGTGGTGTTCTTTCAATCACTGTTGAAGGCTGACAAGTAACAGTTCAGACTCTGGTATCAAATGCTAGGTTTTCCACTTAACCAGCAAGTCCCTGAAAACCCACAAATACAGGGCCCTTACCATGAGGGTCTGAGAGGGTCAGACACCAAGGTGAATGCATGGCACTTGGCTTGTCAGTTCTGGGGACCCTTGACACAAGGACCACTTGTGTACTGATAGTAGGTTCCAAGGAGCCCTGCATTTGGATCATGGCCAACAGCCAGATCAGGCCCATGGTTTTGGCTGACCCTGCAGAACATGGAAGAGACACAGGCCCCAGAGGTAAATATCCTCAGTGTTGCTCTTAACAGCTATGTGCCTGCTATCACGCAAACTGCCCCTCTTCTCTATTTCATCATCTGGAGAATCTGGGAGTTAGATCATTTGCCTTCTAAGATTCAACTGGACCACCCAGCGCCATCTCCTTGACCCAGACAGGAAGCCTCCCCTAAGCCATCCACATAGCCTCAAGGCAAACTGACAGGCAACTCCAGGGACTACAGCCAGAAGCCGGTTAATAGTGCTCTGTGCCCTTGTACCCATTTGGCCAAAACACAAGGAGCGCAGACGTGAGCAGCGCACAGAAGAAGCAAACACAGAGAGACAGGAGTGAATTTGACCTGGCAACTTGCTTTAGGCCTTGGTAGGCCAAGCCGAGTTCTCCGTCTTCATTCAAATATCCCCAATCCTCAGTCTGGCTAGAAATAAAGGATAAAAAAACAGGATATCCAGTGCAGAGGAGAGACACAGGCTGGTAGAGAGCCTAGAACTATGAAGTGATTCTAGCAAAGGTCTGGAAACCGGAAAAAGGCAAGGATGAGCTCCCCTTTACCCCTCTTCCTCTGCAGCTCCCACACTTTGGGTGGCTGCAGATGGCACCTCTTCCAAGTTTCCCAGATTTCAGTTACTCTCTGGGAAGCAGGTTCATGTGGCCTCATCTGAGGCCCACCCACTGATCAACACAAGTGGGGACACGGCTGTCAAGGAGAGAGCAAAGGCTGCACCTTCTCTGATTACTATGTAAAGAGGACAGACCCAGCAGCACTTCCATGTCTCATACCCAGCATGCTGCCTTCTCAAGAGGAAAGGCTGCAAACAGGGCTGGGAAGAGAGAACCAAGGGGTGTACAGACAGCTACAGGCGGTGAGCAGGCTCTCACTGTGAAGGACACTGTACTGCCACAAAGCAGCAGGTGAAGCAACAAACATCAGCCTCTGAGAGGATAAGGAAAGAATCCACATTTTGCCTGCTTTTTGGTGTACTTCTTTCTGTGATGCTTTAAGGGCACAAAGGCATTAACTAACCTTAACCCTAGCTTTCCTTACAGAGTCTTGTGTAAAGAAATAGCTAAACAGTTTCATAGGATGAGAACTGAGTGATTTGTCCTCCTGACTGGCAATTGGTATCTTCTCTAGTTTACTAACTTGGGAAAGCAGGTCATCAGAGACCTTTCTATTCGCTGCTGTCTCCAGGTGATGCAGGTCTGTCAATTGTGAGCAAGGGCAGCTCTGGGAGGGCAGGCACTTCAAATGTTCCTCTCCATATACCTCCCCACTTCACACAGGCCTGGGCATATAAAGACCCTTAAAGGCCAGCAGGACTGGGTGGTGGAGGACAGGGAAGGTACTGCTGTCCCCACCAGGACTCTGACCATGAATAATGGTGCAGAAACTGCAACCATGCTGCCTGATGGATGATCAATGACCCCTTCCTAACTTCCAGGTGGCAAACTATTCATCCTCGGGAAGGTTTTTAGCCCAGGCGAGGCACTATCTTGCCCCCCTAGATTTTGTGTGATGTCCAGGGAGTGAACTACCCACTAGGGGTTTCCCCCAGAGCTCAGCTTCAAGGAAGTGGTCCTCAGAATTTAAAGCACTCATTATGAGCTGCTTCTTGGGCAGAGCTAGTTTTACCCACACCAGGCTTTCTCTGAAGGTCTGATGGAAGAGGGCAGATGGCAGTAAGGACACTTCTGGGGTCTCACTATGGCTTCTGTTCCTTGGCTAGCCCTTTACTGTCAAGACTGAACAAATGAGGGCACCTATTGTCAACAAGGTCATTTTGGACACCCCTCCTACCCAGGACTTCTGCCTTGTAAATGCTTAGAGCTCCCCCAGATATTGCCTTTGGTAACAGTCTAACAGTCTATCTTTTCTGCTCTTGGTTAACACTCAGCTGTTCTCTGTGTTTCACCTGTCCCAGAAAAGACCTGCGGCTGTGTTAAGAGGGAGCGCCTCCTCTCTCAGGTGTTATGCTCTTGGGTATAAATGACTGGATTTAGCAAGGTTTGAAGTAGTACTTTAATCCAAAGGAGGGCCCTGAAGGTATGCAACAGGGAAGAATGGGAGGAATACAGAGATCCTCCAATTCCAGCCCTCTCCTTTCACGGTGGAGAGATGTTGGAATCTGGATAGGGCCCTAAGCATTTCCTGGCCTTGCTCTGAAGCTTTCCCTGGCCTCATGTTGCCAGCAGGTCCTTCAGAGCCTCTAAGGGGCTGCTGGGTCTCTCAGAGTCATCACAACCACACTCCAGGGTAGCACATGTGTGATGCTGAGATATATCCTGAGGAAGTTAGCAAAATTCCCCTCATTACCAACTTCAGAAGAACTCAGATTTCTGAATACTAGAATGTGCCAGGTATTGTAGACAGAGATAAAAGGGAGAACTGTACAGTCCAGGCACCCTACAGCATTCAGGAAATCAGGCACACAAGGAAACAAAAATCCAGCAAACCAACTCAGCAGAGGCCTGTGCTACTAGATGAAAGGAAATCAAATCCCCAGAGCGGGCTCTCCTTACCCCACACCCAGGCCTTTAGGGATGGAAGCCAGAGAGGAAGCACCAACTGCTGGTAGGAGAAGGAAAACCCTACACAGGTCACAGGAATTTTTAAAAAATTGTTTGATATCAATTAATAAATGAACAAATATTCATGGAGAGCCTCTTGCGCATAAGCCACTGTGCGGAGCCCTGTTCCCAAGAGGCCACACATAAAATGAATAAGCAGTCAGCAGTCTCTGCTGCAGGCAGCCAGGTACAGTACAGGCCTCTACAGGCAACTGTCAGTACTGCCTCTATCAAGCCCTGGTGCAGGCTCATCACCTGCACTTCCTGGGCCTGTTTTTTCATGTCACATCAAAACAGCCAGCTGGATGATATCAAAGGTCTTTACACATTTTAAATTATGAGCTATAAACATCATGCACCAACCATCCTGTGCCATGGCTAAGAAACTGCCTGTTTGCAGATAGAAATAAGACATGGCTCCAATAAACATTACTTGGCGATGGTCAGGTCTCCACTTCTAGAAAGACCCAGTGTGCCTCAAGTGTTTGTATTTCTTTAGTTCATACGTGGGCTTCCTCTTCAGCAGCCCAGGATATTTATTATGATCTCTGAGAAGCAGGAGAGGGCACTCCAAACACCAGGAACACAGAAGCCTCTGAGGCAACAGGCCTGGCCATACAAGACGGAGAATTTCTGGTCAGCTACGGTTTATGCACTGAGGTATAGCAGAGTGCAGCTGTGCTACTGACTCAGGTCTAATGCAGTGTGAGAAACATTGCAGAGATGATGAAATCTGTTTCTGGACAGCAGTGGTTAAAGGGACTCCTCTTGAGGAGGGAGCTGGCAGAATCAGGCTCTTTTCTCACTTCTTCTGCAGCTCTGAGCAAGATAACCTGCAGACAGGCTCACCGCTGGAGCCAGTCAACTCCAAGCACATTTCCAGGAGACTACACACACTATTGCCTTGGTCAACAAGATCTACACTGGCAGAGGTGTGTGTGTGTGTGTGTGTGTGTGTGTGTGTGTAGCTCCAGATGCACCCATCCTAGCTTAGATGGCAACAACAAAGCTACTCTTGGTGCCAAGGGCTTTCTGTTCTTTCCTGAGACTGCCAGTGGAAAGGGGCTTCAAGGAGGAGGAGGAGGAGGAGGAGTTCCTGGGACCTAAGGAACGTGCCTGTACAGCACTACCAGACTCGTTTTGGAGTTCAACAGCCTTGACAGGGCTTGGAGGGAAGTGGTCAGGAGTCAAAGGAGACCTATTTTGGAGCCAGACCTGAGTCCGACCACCTTCACTCCTGGCTTAACTCTCTGACTTTGAGGTAAGGCTGGTCTGAGAGCAGCAGCAACTTCTCTTTCAACCCAGACAAGACAAAAGGTTTCCAACACCCAGCCCCCCTCTCTTTTCCTTAGCTTTCTTGCATCTAAAAATGTCATATTGATGCTGGTTCCTCTTAGTTCTGGAGCTGGAAGCATGAGAAATCTAGTGGAAACAGAAGATCTATATTACTGGTTCTCCCCAAGTCCAGGGGAAATACCCAACTGTAAAGACCAGAACAGAACTTTACAAACTACGAGAATCAGCAAGAGAAACTTAGGGACTGTGGCTGTTTAGCAGGACTGTGATTGGGGCAGAAGTATCTGTGCCTGGAGTCAGTGGCTGGTGATTCTGGGATGGAAGACATGGTACCGTGCATAACTCAACCCCATCTCATCGTGGTGGCTGCCCTTGCTGGCTGGGCTCCTCACAACCATGTGGGGCCCTCCCAGCCAGCCTGCTGGAGTGCCCTCTCTTAATCAATTAATTATAAAATTTTCTCAAAGCCGAGGTCTGAAACCAAATTAGAAGAGACAACCCCAACACACTCACTTCTAACAGCACCTGGTGAGGCAGGCACTGAGCGTTAGGTCCTCAGGTCTCCTCCTCCCCATGGCAGCAGCTCTTTTCTGTTTTTACCTTAGGTTCATAGGCTACAAGCTGACCATTGCATGCTAGGCTTGCTGGGAATGGAGTTATTTTCAGATATAATACAGCTAATTTTATTTTATCACCATCATCATTATTATCATAAAGGTAACAAATCCAGGGTATTAACTGGCCTCCGGGAAAACATAGTCTGAGACTCATCTCTGACACCACGGGGATAAATAGAAAGGGGGCTAATAATAGTGAGTTTTGAAGAACAGAAAGATAAGCCAAGCCCAGGCTGCTGCTTTATTTCTACTTTAATATCACCTACGTATTTTTCTTATTCATCTCATTCCTTATCTTCAACTCAAGATAATTTAAAAAGATTAAACCTTCACTCCAGTTTTACCGATGAGGGAGTCACCTTCATTTCTTCTTTCCCTCCTTTAGGGAAAGAATTACCTCTCTTGAAATACATTTCATTTCCTCCTGGGTCCCTTCTGACTATCTACTTTCACATTACCAAATGGCCACAGCCTAGGAGGAAGGACTGCTGGATCCTACCTGGACTCAGTAACAGGCCAGATGTGTGCCTGAACTGCTCAACTCTCTGGGAACTTTCTCTCAGAAAGAGGGAATACACTGGAAGATCTGGGAATCAAAGCACCAAGGCCTTAGTAATTCTGTAATAGTACTGGAGAAACTTCAGGTTGTACTTACAGTGCCCTCTACTGACATTTTCTGGAAATGCTTCCTGTTTTCAGCAATTCTGAACAAATGTTCAGGGACGATAGCTCAACAAGAAATTAGTTGAGATGAGAGAAGGAAGTCAGGGAAAAGGCCAGTTCTGATATTACAGGTATCCACAAGGGCACAAGAAAGAAAAGGTTAAAAAGGCAGTAACACTTACTGTATGCTTACCACACATTCTAAGTGCTTAACTCAGACTAACTAGACTAACCTTGTCTTCTCAATATCCACAAGAGGCATATTGCCATGACTATCCCCAGTCCACAGATGAGGTACTTGGGGCATTGGACAGTGATGCAATAGTTACCATACAGGAAGTGAGCAAGGGGATCCCAAGCTCACAATCAGAGCCCACCACCTGGATGGGGGAGTTTCCCTTCTGCTCATTGACAGACTCCATTGACAACTCCCACCCCTACTACCTCCCTGAAGCAATCACTCTCTTTTGCCTTAACCCTTGGTTAGTTCATTCTCCAAGAGGCAGACGTTCCTGTTTAACTAAAATCCAGACAAATCTCATTCTGGGTAAAATGCCAGAGAAAACCCATTCAACTTCGGCAGTATTTAGCTTGGGTTCAATCTCTTTTAAGTGACAGGGGATGGGTCCCCACAACATAAGAGAGGACAGAATTATAGCACTTGGCTGGAGCAAGCCCCCGTCATTACTTGATTTTTTGTTGTTTTTTTTTGGTACCGGGGATTGAACTCGGGTCCTTGTGCTTGCAAGGCAGGCCACCGAACTGCTGAGCTAAATCCCCAGCCCCCCCCCATCATTACTTGAGCTCCCTTTCCATGGGGCCAGTCTTTCTGAATTCTCTGCTTCCTGTTATCCTCCTAGGAAGCTCTCTGTTCCTAACACACCTAGGTAATACCAGTTCTAGTGGCTTCAGGTGTGTCACTCTAGTCTTGCTGAAGCTAATGACAGACTTCCCAAGGGCTTGGGGCTAATGGAGTCCACCTCCAATAAATAATTCCCTGATGCTGAGTACATGACCAGTGCCTGAGGAAGAGGGAAGGGTCCTTCTTCCATCACTTTCTCTGGGTATAGCTTACAGAGAGGGCCTTACCTGTTTGTCTGGCAGACCCCATGGTAGGCCTCAATGGCATCTTCCTGATCCACGTGCTTTTCACTGTTAGGCCAGCTTGTTCTAGCATTAATGTTCGGCTCCTAGAAGGCCCCAGAGGAATAAACAAAACAATAAAAAACAAAAACAAAACAAAAAAACTAGCTATAACAACTGCCATGAAATGATTTCATATATAAAGAGAAGTATAGAGACATGTTTTGGGAAAAGACAAAGCCTAGAAGGGCTTGGATAACTGCAGTTAAACACAGGGAGAAACGTGATTTCAAAAGGTCACCTTAGAAGGGACACAGAATGGCACGACCTGGCTGGGAAACACTAAAGTGGAAGCAGTGAAGAAGATGGCACAGACAGTGTCCCTGGGAAGAGCAAGCACGCCTGTCCAGAGGACACGATTAAACTCTGGCTCAGGGCTGAATATCCTACCCTCATTACCAACTACTTACCCAAGGCCCAAGCTACCCCAGAGCCCGGCCCAGACTATTGGAGCCAATGGGGTGACCGCATGGCTTCTGTCCTCTCCTTCTCACTCTACAATCTGTCCATGCCACCACGGGAGGGCTGACACAGAACATTTCTCTCCATTTTTGTTTAGAAACAAACAGCAAGAGAAATGAAAAAAGAATGGTCATTTCAGGTTATCTAATTCTTTTGTAATGTTCCTTTTGAACCTCTAAGTAAATTCAGAAGGTTCCTGAAACTTCTAGTTCCATTTCTCAGGAAAAGTCAGGCTCAAAGGGCAGCAAGTCCCTTGTGCTGCCTTTAGAGGAGATCCAGAGTAAGAGACTCTGCTCTTTCAGGTTTAAAACCACTGCAGGTAAAATATATTTAAAAATGTGAGTTTATTACCTAGAGTCACTCCCAACCAACCCAAACATAGTGGCCATCTCGTTACCGTGCTCTTGCCAGCAAGCCGGCGCTGGTCAGCATTCATAATCTGGGTCCTGAGGATGAGGACCTCCTCCTTGCGGACCTCGAGCTCCTCATTGGCTAGCTTGAGCTGGTTCAGCAGGAGGCTGTAACTGTCCGGGGAACTGTGAGGGGAGTTGTTCTGTGTTGCTTGGTCAGCTACAGCTTTCCTCAGCTCGTTCAGGTCATTTTTCAGCTTCTTATTCTCCGATTCCAGCTCTTGCCTCTGGAACACAGCCCAAGTGACAACCTGTTTACACTCTCAGATGGCCTTCTCCTCTGCCTTAACCAACTCAACATGTCTAAAAAGGTGCTAAGTAATAAACATTGCCTGCATGTTTGTTACAGAACCACAGAATAACAGAGCTAGTGGGTACAATCTCTATTTTCTGACTGAGAAAACTCAGTCCAGTGAGCGGAAGGCTGACAGAGTTTAAAGGCTGAGCCTGGGCAAGGGGCTGGGACTCCCATCTTCTGACGCTGGGTCTTTCTTACCACTTGAACATACACATGAAGATTCTAGAGGAGATTTAGAGCCATGCATGGAGAGAGTGATTCTGCACACATGAGGAGGGCCCTGGGGTAAGGTGACTAATCTTTAATGATTATTGATGAACTCGTGAAGCCTGTGGTGAGCCTATTTATTAAGTTCAGGAGAATTCACTCAATACCTGAGTGATTTTCCTGCTGGCAGATGATTGCCATTCTCAGGAGAGGCAGCATCATATGGCAGAGGAACAGTGGGCTTGAAGCAGGTGCCCTCGGTCCTCATCATGGCTTGACGTACACTGCATAGCCCTGGACCTAGCCTGCCCTGTCCAGGTGCGGTTTAAGGGAACACTAGCAGATGGTGGCTAAAGTGTCCTCCAGTTCTGATTAGCCAGATGGGCTCAGTGGCATTAGCTGTAGTTTGGCTATCTGGGTCACAGCCATTCTAAGTTCCCACCCTGGAGAAAGAACCTGCTCCAAGGCAGAGGGTCAGCCTGAGGGAGAGCTCCAGCTGATTGTCACAAAGAGTCCCACCCAGGGCACACCTGAGAAGTATCTGTTTATTCTATTCTCAACGATCCCTGGATACTGTCTACCTTATCACCTCTGCCCTGCTGCCCACCTGGCTTACTATTTCCACATCATTCTTCCTAGCCCAACAGTGCCACAAAAAGATACACAGGTTTTATTGTACATAATATAAAATTTATCATCTCAACTATTTTAAGGTATACAGTTCTGTAGCATTAAGCAAAGTCACACTGTGGTGCAACCGTCCCCATCATCAGTCTCTAGAACTCTTCCATCTTCTCCAACTGAAACTGTTCCCACTAAAAACTAACCCCCCATCTCCATTCCCTGACCTCCAGAATCTATCTACCCACTCTGTGTTTGACTTACTTCTCTAGGTACTCATAAGTGGAATGGGAGAATATTTGGGTGAAAGACATGTTTTTGATGCACCCAAATGTCATGCCATTCCCTTGGAGGATGCTTTTATCCTTTCCTTCTGCTAAGCACTGTGGATCAGTGCTAGGGACACAGTGCCTGCTTAGAGCCTAATGATTCCACTGCACTGCAGTTTGGGACATGCTGTGACACAAGTGAACCAGGGGTTAAAGAAGGTCTCCATCTACCGAGTCTTAGAGGTAAGAGCAGCCCCCACCCCTCAGGGGTGACTGGTGATGTTAAATCTAACAACAAAGGACCTGCACAGTTAGCCAGATGAGTGTTTCAGGCACAGAAAAACCAACAAAAGGAGAAGGGCCAGGGCTAGCTGAGAAATTGCAAGGTAGAGCAGGATGGGGAAGGAGTCAAGAGGTGCAAGTGAGGGCTGTGAAAAATGAGGGACCTTGTAACGCTGGACAGAGGCAAGAGCAAGGTGTCATGGTTGTGACAGGGACCAGAGCGGGACGTAGATGTGCCCCAGTCAGGAAGCAGAACTGTCAGGATTTGGTGACTGGGTGTGGGAAGAGAAGGAAGAATCTAGGGCCAGGGATTTAGCTCAGTGGTGCTGCCGCCAGCCTCACAAGTGCAAGGTCCTGAGTTCAATCCCTGGTACTGCCCCCCCAAAAGAAGGAAGAGTCTAGATATGTGGGCCATGTGGATGCCATCTATTGGGACCAGTAAACCCAAGAAGGGCTCTCTGCATGTTAGATGCATCTGACTGTGGTCCCCACGGTACATGAGGAGTCAGAATGATGGGGCTAGGATTCTGGATACAGAGGTGGCTAGAGATGGATTATAAGTATGTGGATGAAGGCTGAAGTTGGGAGAGTATGTGGGGGTGGAGTGGAAGGCTGAATAATTCAGGGAAAGGATGCCAAGTACGGCTGAGAGCAGGTTGAGGGTGGGGTGCTATCACCTGTCCTCCTGGCTTCCTTTCTCCACATAGCTCTGCGGCCTGTCCCTGGGCATCTCTGTATCAAGTGGGTAGATTAGATGGACGCTTCCTGCAGTGGGTTCTGGCATCTGTTATTTTCCTTCACTTTAATGCATCTCTGGAGAACACTTTATAAAGGTATCCAACCCAAGGCAGGCCATATTTCACATGGGAAGAGTGTTAGCTTGGGTGCTGAACAACTTCAAATAAGGGAGACATGCATTTCTTTTTTCATTTGTGGCAGGGAGTGGGTCTTGCCAAGTTTCAGGCTGGCCTTGAACTTGCAATGCTTCTGCCTCAGCCTCCCAAGTAACAGCGTACCACTGCACCCAACTGATATACCTCTATATACAACCAACATCACCCTGCAACCCTCTAACTTTGCAATATTTTAAGTCAATAAAACTGATCCATATTCTATAGATAGAGCAGTACAACCAGCTCTGCCTCATGAATCTAGCTAGCTTTAGTGGTGATTGATGCAGAGTATTTTCCTAAAATTCTGAGGAACTTTAATGGAACAACTATGGGTATCTCAGGTCTGTCTTTCAAAAAGCAAACAAAAAGCCTAGTTTTATCACAGTAGTACTTATAATAGTGTAACAGAGCAATTAATATGTTCAGAAATTAAGAGTGGTTAAGAAAATTGTTATAATCATGTTATAAAATTTTAATCAATCATGAAAAATTATGTTCTCAAGAGAGATTAGGAACAAAAATCCTTGTTAAGTGAAAACAGCAAAATATAAAGTTCCATATATTAGCCATGTAAATAATGTGGTGGTTAAGCTTAATTGGCCACCGTAGTGATTAGTAAACTACACTTCTGGGTGTGTCTGGGTGGGTCACAGAGATGTGACCTGAGATATATCTGATCCTTTACCTTCTTTCTCTCCGGCACTGTTCCCTGGCTCTGCTTCCCAGTTGCCATGACCAAATATCTTTGCTTTGTACACCCTCCTACCATGATGCTTCTCCCTTGCAGCTGGCTGACAAGAGATGGACTGAATCCCCCCAGACCACGAGCCAAATTAAACCTATCTTTCCTTTAAGTTACAGGTATTGAGTATTGCGTCCTGGTGACAGGAAAGCAGACTCATAAATAATATGCATAGAAAAAGCATTAGAATATTCAAATAATATCATAGGATGCCTCCAAGGGGCAGAAATACAGATTATTAAGTTCTTTACATCTTCTGGATTAAAAAAAAATTCCAATATGAGTAGAATCCCTTTTAAAAATTTACAGATAAAATGAAAAACTTCAGTAGAAAAGGAGCATTAAGGAAGTAAAAAAGTCACTGATAGGACCTTCTTAATCGAGCCTTTCTGGCTCATGCTCACCATAGTTTGGGTAATAGGTTGAGATGAAAAGTATTGACATGCCAATCTGGGCTCTTAGTTGCTCTGTTTTTCTTTTTTGAGCTCTGAGTCAATTGGGCACTATCTCCTGATCTCAACTCACCTAAAGGCCAGAACAGGAAACCCAAAGGGGCCGACTGCCTTGAACAGATCTACTTTCTGCCCAGCAGGCTCTCAGGTCAGTAGGAACAGAGCCTATTTTGGTCACCTGACCTGTCCCTCATCTTGGGCTTGGCCCCAGGACAGTGAACTTTTTTCCTTCCTCCCTGGTCCCACATCTATCCTTTCTGCTCTAACCACCTCTGCTGTCCAGTGTCCTCTGCCTTGACCCAGGCTGCTGGCCCCAGACAGGTATCCCATCTTCCAGTCCAGCCATATTCCTAACGTGGGTTAGCTAGGTGTTACAAACCTGAGGACCTTCAAATTGACATTGCCCCCCACCCCCGATCCCACAGATGGCATACTCAAGCCTTGTATGTAGCACCCGAACAATGTGCCTCTAACCAGAGCAGAGATGGGATTACTTCATATATTATAGAAGGATCTGGTAAAACATCTAAACTTTTGGTAGGGGATATCTAGGTTTAACCAAAATTCACCACACACTGAGGGGTCCTCCAAGTATAGCCTTATCTTATAAATGTACATCTAGCAGGTTAACAAATTCAACTAGATAAGGCTCCAGTTGGAAAAGAGCTAAGGCTTTCCATAGGAAAGGCAGCTGAAGAATGGCCACAGGAGGCCCCCTGCAATCAGTATTTATTGCATAGACCCCAGGCTCCTTGGAAGGTTTATAATGGATTTAGCTCAGGGGCACCATATCTGCAAGCACAAGGTCCTAAGTTCAATCCCCAGTACTGGGAAGAAAAAAATATATCAAAGGTGCTGGAAAACTGGATTTCTATACTCAAAAATATGATAGTGGACCCTTACCTCACACCTTATACAAAAGTTAACTCAAAATAGACAATGACCTACATGTAAGACCTAAAACTACAATACTTTTGAAGAAAACACAGCAAAATCTTCATCACATGCAGTTTGGTAATGATTTCTTGGCTATGACACCAAAAGCACAGACAAAAAAAAAAAAAAAAGTACTTCAGCAGGGAAAAGTACATGAAAACATATTATTAATAGGGGGGATGTGGTGGTATATATTTGTAATCCCAGGTACTTTGAAGGCTGAGACAGGAGGATCACAAGTTAGAGACCACCCTTGTTGATTTAGGGAGATCCTGTCTCAAAATAAAAAACAATGAAAGCTGAGGTTGTAGCTTAGTGCTGCAGCACTTGCCTAGCATGCATGAGGCCCTAGATTCAATTCCCAGTACAACACCCATCTCAGACATTATCAACAGAGTAAAAAGGCAGCCCAAAGAATGAGAGAAAATATTTACTGTAGCTCAGAGGTAGAGTACTTGCCTAACATGCATGATGCCCTGGGTTCAATCCCCAGCAGAGCAAAAATAAAAAAAAATTGATAAAGGATTAATATCCAAAAAATAGAGAATTCCTAAAACCCAACAACAACAGATTAAAAAATGTACAGCTGGGGATTTAGTTCGGTGGTTCCAGCGCCTGCCTCGCAAGCACAAGGACCTGAGTTCAATCCCTGGTACCAAAAAAAAAAAAAAAAAAAAAAATGTACGAAGAACTTGAGTAGACATTTCTCTAAAGAAGAGTATATGAATGGCCAATAAGTGCATAAAAAGATGCTCAAAATTACTAATCTTTAGAGAAACTAATAAATTAAGATACTTCCTTATATCCACTAAGATAGCTCTTATCAAAAAACAAAACAAAACAAAGTTTAAGGATGAGGAGAAATTGGAAGCTTTGTCACTGTTGGTAGAAATATAAAATAGTACAGCCACTATGGAAAACAGTATAGTAGTTCCTCAAAAAATTAAAAATAGAATTACCATATGATCCACTAAGTCTCCTTCTGGGTTTATACTACAAACAATTTAAGGCAGGGTCTTGATGAGATACATGTACTCCCATGTTCACTGAGGGAATAGCTAAAATGTAGACCAAACCAAATTCCACCAATGGATGAATGTAAAAGCAAAATGTAGTATATATAGATAGAATTATTCCCTAAGAGGGAAGGAAATTCTGACATGCTATAATGTCGATGAACTTCAAAGATATTAGGCAAAAGGAAACAAGCTCACCATAAAAAGAAAAGTATTGCATGATTCAGCTTGTATGAGGGGCTCATCAAGGGCTTGGGAGGAGGAGGAGGAGGAATGGGGAATTGTTTAGGTGGACAGTTTTGGTTTTGCAAAATGAAAAGAACTAGAGATGGATAGTGGTAAGGTGTGTGCATAATATTGTGAATGTATTTAATACTCTGAAGTGTATGCTTAAAAATAGGGTGATAAATTTTATGTTATGTATATTTTATATCACAATACACATTTTTTTTGGCGTGGGGAAAGCCATGGGAATGATTTTTCTGGGCAAGGCACCTGTTAACAGAATTATCTGTAGTCCTACAAGTGACTAGCAGATTGGATAAGCTGCCACATTACCAAGTTGTTAGGAATGGGAGTAGAGGATGGGACTGGTCTGACACCCCTTTTCTGTACACTCTCTCCTACCATGGAGCTCATTCATCCTTACACCTGAGGTCTCCACCAATCCACCATGCTATCTCCAGCCAGGCTGACACCTGATGCACAGGGGAGATCCCTCTGCCTACACCTGCCTCTGCAAGTCTGGAATTTTTCTCAAAGCACAATTTTATTTCAGTGCCCACACTTTCTTTTCTTTCTTTTTTCCTTTTTTCTTTCCTTCCTTCCTTCCTTCCTTCCTTGTACTGGGGGTTGAACTCGGGCCCTTGCGCTTGCAACCTACCCTTTATTTCAGCTGAAGCTGTGTCAGGTAGGTAAGGCATGTATGACCATTCCTTCGGGGTAAACACAAATTTTCTTCCATTTCAAAGACACTAAAGTCTTAGTGACACAAGTTTTAGTGGAATAGTAGCGAAGACATAAAGCATGGAAAGAAGTTATTTATGTTTCTACTTATTACCCACAGCAGGCTGGAGTTTAGGATCTAGTTTTCTGATGCCCAGCTTTGTCATCTGTCCTCTAATGGCATACACAAAGCCTTACCTTAAGACTGTTGTAGGCAAGATCTGAATCCTGGTCCAATTCTATGTCATTCCTAGGTTGTTCCATCTACACAGGTGAAGAGACAGAAAAGTAAGCATAGGCTACTGGGCACATATTTCACAGATATTTCTGACAATCATCAAACATGCTCATTCTGCTTTTGCATAAACATTTGTTACCCTCAACCTCCACAAGTGCATTTCTGTCCCTCTTTCCAAACATAGCTCAATACTCAGGCTACCATGAAGTCCTCCTAAACAGCATCTTCCTGCCCCCATTTTATTCATACGGTACCCATGGGTGCTTACAGGCTGAGTTGGTATAACATTGTGCTACGGTTGAATTTTGGCCCCCCAAGATATTCTGAAGCCTTGATCTCCCCAACCCATGAATGTGATTTTATGTGGAAATGGGGTCTTTGCAGATGCAGTCAGGTCAAGTGATTAGTATGGGCTCTAATCCCATAGGTAACCTCATGAGAAAAGACATATCCACAGGAAAGAAGGGCATGTAAAGGCAGAGGCAGGAATTTGAGTCACACAGGTGCAAGTCAAAGAACACCAGGGACTGCCAACAACACCGGAAGCCAGAAGAAAGGCATGGGACAAACTCTACCCCCCCAAGCTTTCAGAGCTGGCTTTGTCAACATGTTGATTTCTGGCTTCTAGAACTATGAGACAATAAACCTTTGCTGTTTTAAGCTATCAATCTGTGGTCCTTTCTGTCAGCAGGCACACACAGTAAAACTTAAGTATCTGTTAATGAGGTTAATGAGCTGCGCTTAACTTTGGGAGGGGGTTGTCCCTGCGTATTCTGCTTCCCAGATAAACTTGAAGCACCTTGCATAGCAGCAGCCTCCTCCTTGCACGATACATGCTCAAGACACATAGCCTGACTTCAGAACTCCAAAGCTCACAACTATAGAGGGTAATGGTCAGAATAATAGCCCATTAGAACTCAGCTGAGCCAAACATTCCTATAATTACCTTGTAGCTATTAGATTTGAATTGTCCCAGGCAAAGGGGAACAGGAAGACCTTTTTATAAGTGACTAACTGCTTGGGGTGGGTTCAAGTAGTCTTCAAGATATTCCTGAAGAAGATGGGTCTTTAGAGCTAAAAACTGACACAGCTTACAACCTCAAGAGGCCATCATCATCTGTGAATGGATAAGGGGTGCTCCAGGCTTAGAGACAGCAAAGGATATCCCATAGCCCCTTCCAAATGAAGGGTGCCTATCTTTACTGCACTATTCCTAGCCCTGAGCCTAGGAAAAACTCCACCAAGATTGCAGCCTTTACCTTGCTGCTCATCACCCATGGTACAGGTGATATGACCATCCAGGGTCAGCACTCTTTCTGCTGCCTGTTCTTATGCTCTGTGTAACACAGATTTACCACATGATCACATGTAATGCCATGTACGTACATTAGGTTTTCAGAAAAGAGGGATCAGCTACTCAAACTCAAGGGGCTGTGCACTAAGATGGGTTTGCAGTCATGTTTTCCACTTTGCAGCCCTCATGGCTAAAGTGACTTTGCTAGCCCAGAGAAAGGAAGCTGGGTGGATGGAAGGTAAAAAACTGACAGCTGCTTTGTCACAGAGGTCCCACTCACCCAGGGGCTCAGTTATTTCCCGACTGATGGTACATTCCACAGACTTCCCTGCCATTCCTCACTCAGTGCATGGCCTCTTTCTAAAGGTGGGACCTAGGGCCGTACTGCTTCAGAATAAAGACCCAGGTAGCTTAGCAGCCTTCTTGGGGCCAAGGGCACATCCAGGAACTTGAGCCTTTGTAGCTTAGTCTCAGAGGTGTATAGGATTCCATGCTCTTCACTGTCTAACTCCTGTCCTTCTTAGTAAGCAGTTCGAAACAAGCACATGCCCCTGAAGGAAATCTCAACACATGGTGGAGCTAGGGTCCTAGTCTACTGTTTGAAAGGTTGTTCAGTGACTATGCTTTGAGGAAAGAGATACTCTTTTTCCTTTGGTCTCAAGAAACACACAACTTCTGCTGCCATGATTCCAAAATTATGTGGCATTTCTGTAATGGGGAACAAACCCAGAGAATGAATCTTTAGGTGCAGAAGGTGGGCTAGGAACTTTTATGTCAGACATTATCTGATGGCATCTCTGTAGCTTTTTACATGCTGAGAATCCCTGACTTATTATAGTTGACAGACAGGTCTTTCAACTTTATGATGGTAGAAAAGCAACACACGTTCAGCAGAAACTGTACTTCAATTTAAACTTTGATCTTTCCCCAAGTGAGCAGTATGCTGTACAGTTCTCCTTGGTGGCGCCGGACATAAGCAGTAAGCCACAGCTCCCAGTCAGCTCCAACATCACAAGGGTAAACCACCAAGATTCCACAGTGTGCCTTGTTGCTAAGCTAGGATGTTCAGAAAGTGAGATTCATTAAATTCATTTTGCACTTACGGTGTTTTTAACTTATGATGGGTTTATCAGGACATAACCCCACTGTAGGTCCAGAAGAACCTGTACAGCACTTGATTTATACTTGCCTGCCAGGCTGGCTTCCTTTATAATTGAAAGAGTCATTTATAGACCTAATCCATTCACTCCCCATTCTGAATCTAATCCACTTGAGAGATTTAAATCCATCAACAAGATTTACCTCCCCACTTACCACTCAGAAAAAAAAAATACTCACAAGACTTGATAGCAGTACGGGTCAGACTATGCACAGCATTTGATTGGAAAGGGAAGATGAGTATTGCAAAAGTAGACTACTCAAAGAGTCAGGAATAGATAGGCTAAGGATTTGAGGAGGGTTTCAAATCCCACAAGTCATGATTTAGATGCGAGAACAGACCAAAAGCCTTTGTCAAACCCATTATGAAGTTAGCTGATATGACTTAGGTCAGAAATGCCAAGGGAATAAAAAGTGGTTCTTACTACTTATTACCACTCATTGAGGGGTTCTTATCTACTATATTCAATGAGATCTCTATTGCTATAGCAAGAGACACCCTTGTGGCTTTGCAGTGCAAAAACTTCTTCGCCATTGAGGGCACTGGGGAGCGTGTTCCTGTTCGTCTGGGGCAGGACACTCACCAATTCAGTGTGACTCCAACACAGATGGAAGGCACTCTGAAACCTAGCACCAGCATGATCCCAGGGGTTACACGAGCCCTGGCGGCCATGGGCTGGATTGTTGTCTCACCGTGGCACCATAAGGGTGCCTAGCCCCATCACGCACCTGGCCTTTTTTGCTCTCTTGCTGTTCTCTCTTTTCCAGCTGTACCTGCAGCTTCTTCCTCTCCTGTTCAAGCTCCCGCACTCTCTTCTGTAGCTTCAGGAAGACTGTCATATCCATGGCTGCCTTGTCCACACCAATCTCCTGCAAAGGAAGAGAAAAACAGGGAAAAGAGGTGGCCATAGCACAAACACCTGGGGGAGCACACAGCACCTCGCTGTCTACCTCCACATCAGCCATCTGTCTCCTCACTCCTCCCAAACATCAATCTGTACCTCAATACAAAGCTACTGCCAAACAACTAGCTTTTCTCACATTAGAGCTGTGACTCAGGCTCATCTTCTACCTGATAACATCTGAGTTGTAGCCATCCCTGCTATGTGGGCCACTTAAAATGACCAATAATGCATTCTAAGGACAAATGGATACAGACATAGCTATTTTTTCTGGAAGCTAAGAGTTCACATCTGGCAGATGGCCCTGTACCTTAGAAATTGTAAAACTCAGGATGAAACTCTTCCTGATGAAGAATCGAGGTAGTTACTAATTACTGTAAGTGTGCTGTCAACCACCACTCGACATAGAGCACATTTATCGATCTTAAAGCATCAATTTCCCTGTAGGTTTTTTCCCCTTTAGAGTCATGCTTGAATTTGCTCTCCAGGGTTCTGCAGTGTGTTGAGTATGTGCACACATAATTTGCTTGTGAAAGGGTAATGTGTACAAATATACCAACATAGACTGCTTTTAAGTACACATGTGACAATATGTGGTCCTACTGGCATTTAATGAGTACTTCATGCTTCACTGGCACTGGATCAGTCTCAGCTTCCTTGAAGAACACAGACCTGGAGATAGGAGTGCTTGTATCTGTATGGAATGAGGCAGGCACACAGACACTGGCAGTGTACCTGACTTTATGCTGAATGAAGCCTCCGGGGACCCAACTTAGGAGACTGCAAGAGCAAAGTTGGAGGCCTTAAGCCACCATTTACTGAAGACTCATTCAGCACACAGCAAGCAGCAAGCCTAACAGAACAGCAAGAAGACCTTTTGTCCCAAGGATCACCCCCTAACCCATCATTGTCTCTGTCATCTTTTATCTTTCTGCAGTTATACCACACGTTTCTTCTGTTAACTGCTTACTTATGGGAGAAGTTCAAGCCTGGCTGGGCCAGGTGTACTGTACCTGAGCAAGCTCAAAGACCACGCTAAGGCTGAGCAAGCTCGCCCAAGTTTGTAGACGCTGGGTCTAACAGGCTACACCTCCACCCCTAGTCCGCGATTCCTTTGCCTTGCCCAAGAAAAATCACCCCACCACATGTCTAGCCAATAAGATAAATGCTCCTCCCATGCTCCTCCCCCATGGTTGTCCACACGTAAGCTGTATAAGCCTGTGCATTTCCTAAATAAAGTGGAAGCTTTCCAGGAACCTCCCCTGATTCTGCCTGGTGATTCCATGCCTTACCCTCCCAGTCCAAGCTCCCAAACTGAATTCCGCAGATAAAGACACTTACTGATTATCAAACAAGCTCCGAGAGAGCAGGGACTTCTCTAACTTGGTCACCACTGTTTCTCAGCATCTCCTAGCAGTGCCTGGCACAAAGACAGGCTCAAAACACACTGTTATCATAACTGTCTCTCTTCTATATCTGTTGCCAGCTACTTTATAAGGTGTGATTATCTTCTTTTCAAATGCCAAAGGAAAAACTGTGTGTCTGAACATCCATGACAAAACTGTGCACAGACCATTACACCTGCTGTATGGTACAAGATGCTATGAGGCTATTTCTAGTAGACAAAGTTACTGGCACCCAGCATATATCCATTCCAAGCATCTACTGCTTGTTCTCTGAGTTTTACCTAACGTCTCAGTATTTTCCGGTGTACTTACTGATATTACTTTATGTCCTGTGATACTAGATAGGGCCGATAAATTTAATTTATTTTAATGATTTAGCTGTTTCTTTGTTTCTTTCCAGCCATTTTACTCTTCTGCTTCACTTTCCCAGCTTAATAAAAGGCATCAGGGATCCGCCTTCTTCCTTCTTTCCAGACAATGGGTAAAGGGACAGTAAGCAACACAGAACACATAAGCTCCACTGTGCAGTCCACAAGCCCATGGCAGTCCAGAGATCCTGCTCTCCAGGATCAGCTGCTGGGCTCTCTGGTCACCATCAGCAGAAGGGTACACCTCTGTGAGCAGCTCCACACGAGCCAGAAAACACCCTCTGGGGTGGGACAGCCGTCAAGAGCTGGCTGACTTACCTCCACCTGTTGGAGGGTGTCCTCAGTGTCTCCGACCTCAGAGGTAGAGATGGAGGGGTAATTGGAGTCAGATTCTAAGCTACTTTGGTTGGATGGGTTCCGCCTGTGGCCTGGGGTTTGCTGTTCAAGAAGAAAAATGGGACAATGAGTTAATGTTAATAAAAGCTTCTCAGAGAGCAGCAGGTCCAAGAGTCAGACCCCTGCCTCATGTTTCAATAAGAACAGGTATCACTCTTGGAATGTGGGTTAAGCAGAGCTATTATTACCAAACAATCCACCCACAGTTCTAACCACATCTGACCAGAAACATGACAATTCGAAGAGCACACAGCTCTGAGAAAAGAACCAAGTTTCCTTGTCTCTTAATGGCATGCAAACCTATGACACTTCACTTATTTCTCTGCAGGGTCCTGGGGAACAACACCTCAGAACTGGTCTTGCCTTCAAAGTATGTAGAGTGGACAATTTAGTGAGACCCTGTCATAATTTTTAAAAATGTCAGGGCTGTAATTCAGTGCAAATGCCAGGGGGTCAGCCCCCGGTATGTGAGGAAGGGAAGAGACACAAAGACTGACCGGTACCTACCTTCCTCTTCCTTGAAAGGAATGCTGTAAAGCTGCTACAGATGGCCCCTCCCTTCAACTACACTCCATCAATTTTGTTATGAAAGTTGTAGCAGATTAGAAATAGAGCTTACCATTTATACTGTTCATTTAAAAATATCTTGTTTTTATCTATTTTTGGCATCTGATTTGGCTTTCAGGGTGAAAAGTGAGCCAGAAAATTTTTAGATTTCTATATGAGATCCTATCAGCTTCTTTTCCTTATTTTAACGCAATTAACTTCTTCCATTTTGTTTGAACACATATGTCTAAAGGAAATGCTTATATGGGCTAAAGGAGGATGATACCTCCTGAAATATCATGAGAACACTGCATATATTCTGTGTTTCATCATAGCTTAGGACCTGCAGTCAGGCCCTATGGGTGGCTGTCTACACAACCCAGTGCAGCTGAGACTAAACCCCGGCCCTGTTACTGTTTCAACATAGCAATCTTCCCAGAACGGTAAACAGAAGTGGTGACACACACTGCTACTGGACAGCCTCATAAACTCCTAGCCTAGCCAAGATATTTACAAGACCCCAATTTTGGAAAAGGAGCATCCTTAGGAAGGACCCACCCTGTCCAGGTGCTGTCTCACGATCCCATCCCTTGGGAAGGACAAGAATAGATGCTGTGTCTCGTGTGCACACTCACAGACCCTGAGGCAGGCCACAGTGCGGTGGGTGCAGGCAAGAGCCATAAAGCTAGTACGAGAAGGGGGCCTACTCCGTGTGGCAGCAGAACTGCCCCGCCCTTTAGGTGGTCACCTCGTCCCGCAGGTTGTCGTATCTCTGCTCCAACCGGGAGTATTCCTTCACAAGGTTCTGGTACCGGGAACGCTCCTCCTCCAGCTCTTTCTTCATTAAAAGGTTTTCCTTCATAGAGTTCTGGGCAAACTCGTCTGGAAGGGAGGCACATGGAGCTGAAGGTTCACCATCTTAACCGATTCCGCAGTCCACACCCATGCACTGATGCACACTTTCTGATTACACTCTTCTAAAAGGCTGCCTACGACAAGCTCCTCACAGAGGCAGGCACTGGGTGAGTATCTACGATCGTCTCCTACCACAGAGCCAGGGACTCGTTACTCTGGTCTAAGTCACAAGAACTCTCAGTTAACGTGCCTGCCTCTCTTCCAACTACTGCCATGGTGACTGCTGGTAGCATTCCTGACAGAGCCAAGGTTTCATTCTGCAATTTCTCCCTATTCCTGACCTCTCAAGTTCTTGGAGTGCAGGGAGATTAAAGAAGGTGAAGCCAATTTAGGTTGGGGTGGGGGAGAATGAGCAGATGACTAACATGGTTAGGCTTTTCCTCTGTTTGTAGTAATGGGAAGGAAAAGCTACAAGAGAAATTTAAAACAGCTTAACATTAAGACTTTATGGCAGGTGGGACTGCGAGGCCATGTGGTTTAGCTATCTTGTGACGTGGGTAAGAAATCTGAGGATGGAAGAGGTCTCATCACACCGAACTGGGGCACCTACCACCCCTCTACAGCCAAAGGGCAAAGGAAGACAGATGGCAGTCCAAGAGTCAGTGGGTGAGTGAGAGAGGCTGACAAAGGGCCCAATCTAAGATCCTTTCCTCAGCAAACATTAACAGGTAACTGGGTAGAAGAAACAGGTACTGTGGATGCTGAACATAAAATATCACCCTAAGCACTCTCCCTGCACATCCTGCTCACTCTACATATAAGTGAGGTCTGTTCTTCCTGTCCATTTTGCAGATGAAGAAACTGAGCACCTGCTGAAGGCCACATGGTAGCACATGGCAGAGTCAGGCTTGACTGCAGATCTCCCACAGGTCTTGTGCATGTGTATTATATGATGTGTTAAGCATATGGCTGCCCTCATCCACCTCAAACCAAATAACACAGCGGGATTTAAAAATCAGCACCTTTTTTTTTTCTATCTCTGTTACAGGCCTTCCCTACTGCAGCATCTAGGAGTCTTTAGGGGGAGAAGCAGCCAAGAAAAGGGATTAAGATCCAAAAAAAACTTGGGGCTTTGGAACTTACCTTTCAACTGGCACAGGATCTGATTGTTAAGCTGTTCTTTCTCATCTTTCAAGAGAGCATTTTCTTGCTCTAGGTCTGTAACTCGCTGAAAGAAAGCAAAGGGAAAAATGTTTCCCCAAGATGCTAGGCAAAGGAGAAGTTCTTTTTATGCCACTTGAATTTTGACTGGTTATGTATAAATTCTCTCTATTTCACAAAATTGAGGTCAACAAAGCTACTTTTATTCTGAAGAAAAAAAATGTATCCTAAAGGGAAAATCCCATTATAAGACAGGCAAGCTCACACTGCTTCTAGTCATCTAGTTCCCATAAAAACCTCATGGATGTCTACATTCAGTTCACATGCCTTGTCGCGAGGCTAACAGACAACACAGACTTTCACATTATTGTGTTTATTTGCTGGTCTTACTAATTTTTGAGCTCTCAAATGTGAGTCTTCAAAAGCTGGAAGGTCACAACGAACAAATTAACTCTGATCTTCCTTCCACCTGTTCTTCCCTATCTCACTGAACCAGCACAGCCGAGATTCTGGGAAAGGGAAGCAGATTTATCATTGATATTCAAATATCCAATCCCAGCGCTTCTTACGCTACTGCTAAAGAAACATGAGGCAAATATTACTGAAAAAAAAAAAAAAAAAGCAAACCAAAAAGAAAGGAAATACTAATTAAAGTCTGGTCTGTTCAAAGAGGAAGAAAAGTTAAAATAGTGTAAGGTAAGTGTCTAAAAATTACAAACTTTAAATTTATAATTGGAGCAAATATTTCTATAAGATTTTTTTTTGTATTTTTGGTTTTTTTTCCTGTACCAGGGATTGAACTCAGGACCTTACACTTGCAAGGCAGGTGGTGGAACCACTGAGCTAAATACCCAGCCCCGTATAGATTTTTTAAAAAGTAATTCAGACGTGTGTTCTGAGAAGGATGAGAGAGGGTGTAGTTCTACTGCAGTTGGCCCACCTTTCTGCTCAGAACCCATGGAGATCCATACTGCAGGAGGCTAATCAGTAATTTTCCTCAATAAAATCACACAATCGCCTTTGTGACACTAAGAAGGAAATAACTGGGAAAGAATGGGGGAGGTGTGCCGATGTCCCTTCATTGAGGCACCTAGCCCAAGCTTGTACCTCCCCCAGGAGTGGCTGAAGAATCACACATCACCACTCAGTAAGCTCATGTTGTAAGTGCAGTACGAGACAGAGATCATAAGCTTCACAGGCACGCAGATCCCACCAGGCTCCATAAACTTCAGTTTCCCCCTATAAAACTAATACCCTCCTCATAGGGTTGTTTCAGCATTAAATGAAATGATGTACGTGAAGCACCAAACAGCAGGGTCTGCATGTAGCAGCTGATCGATACATGTAGACTGTTCTGTAGCATGAACTTTACTAGGCACTAAACGGAAACATCTGTAAAATCATTCCATCATTCACCAAAATTTTAAGGCAGAATATCTGTTCTTTACATATTCTAAAAAAAGAAGAGGAGCACTTCTCAATTTATTTTATGAGGACATTATTACTGATACTAAAATTAGATAAAGGTATCACAATAAAGAAAACTATAGGCAATATTTTTTATGAATACAATAAAAAATCTTCAATTAATATAGCAAATGTCTATGATAAAAATGCCCAACAAATTAAACATGGAACAGAAATGAATTTCTGCAATTTGATGAAGGGCATTTTCAAAACTCTACAGGCTCAGGTTCTACCCTTTCTGGTGAAAGACTGAATGCTCTCTTCCTAAGTTCAGGAAGAAGACGAAGAGTCTGCTCTGCCACTTCTATAGTATTCAGTATTGTAATGGAGGTTTCAGCCAGGGGAATCAGGCAAGAAAAATAAAGGCAGCTACACCGGAAAGTAACAAGCATTCGATACTGGGCTGGGTTCTGAGGATGTGACAGCTGGCAATGTGGTCCCTTAGTTCAATCAGCAGCCTTAGATCAGCAACCTATGATCTAAAATCTGAGCCAATGCTTCAATGTGGGGAAGCCACGACTAACAACACATATGCCACCAATGCCTTCTATTGTTTTCAAGCCTCTTTTCTTCTCTCCTTCTTTCTCCAAGGCTTTGATTCACAAGTGCAGGCCCAAGGGTGAACTTGGCTTTGTTATTCTAAGCCATACACCAAAAGGGTCATCGGGGGGATTTGTTTCTCTTGCTCACCGCAACAATTCTGGAAGTAGGTCCATTTTGCCGTCAGTGAGCCAGAGGCAGAAATATTCTCACACTCAGCTCCACATGCCAGGGAGGCCAGAGAAAGCTTCTCTGGTCACCTTGCTTTAGGCACAGGCCAGCTAGCATATGGAGTTTGTCGACAGTAGGGATAAACTTCTGCAGCAAAATGGTTCCCTTTTGCAACACATAAGGGTGCAGTGAGAGACTTTAACAATACAGAAAAGGCAGATGGCATCCCAAGAGCATGATAAGCGACATCTTTGCATTAAACATCATTCAACAGCTCCTTTTTTTATGGGCTAGGGGAGAAAGGAAGAAGTCTTAATTCTTTCAGGAAATATTATTTGGAATGTTTCTAACTTTCACAAGGGTATATCGGACAGCTTATCAGAACCAACACTGGGGCAGGGATCCTATAAGTATTAGGCTAACACAGCCCCTATGAAGTCAAATGAAACAAATGCCCAACCACCTGCTAAAGAACTGCATTTGCTACTGCAGCTTTGTGGATATACAGTTAGCTGAGGGCTTTCTACTTTTACTTTTTCAAGTTGGATATTTGTACTGTCAAAAGAACTAACTGCAAGGTTACCTGCAGAAAAATCATTGAAAAACTGGTTGGATGATGCCTATCAGGAAAGATTTACCTGTCATTTGCCCTTAATGCTGTGCACCTACCAGGTAGTAGAAATTTGCATGGCTCTTGGTAGAAATAATACTTCTAATTCTACAAAGTCCTGGGAAAGGTTATTTGCCAATTTTCTTGCAGTAAAGCAAACAAACATGAATATTTTATGTAAGTGGAATGTTTTTTGCCAATGGAATGTGTGTAAGAACAGAGAAGCAGAAAATGAAGAGTGGACAGAAAGTGCAGAGAGGATGGCGCAGAAAGAAAATGTGAGCTGACCTGTGATATACGGCTGTTAGACACCTATACAAATTACAGAAAGAAAATCAAGGGTGGGTGCTCTCTTGCTGCTCCAAGGAAAGGAGGTATCTGGCCTATCAGAACAACCCTGGAGGGGAGGCATGGAAGATTCTGAGGCCCTCGCCTAGCACCATGGGCATCAGGAGGGATTCAAAACAGTGTAAGGTAGAGCTCATGACCACAGTGAAGTTGCAGTTTAGGTGAGAAAATGAAAAAAATATTTACTGAGCTCTTACTATATGCATGTCCCAGATACTGTTATAATTTAAAAAATATCTTTAGGGTAGGTACCATTATTGTTTGTTTTGAAGAAAACTAAGGCAGAAGTAAGTTAGAGATCTTGCCAAATGTTACAATGCCAAGAAGAGGCTCTGAACCACTATGCCAACCTGTCTCCTGACAATTTAGAAGACAGACTTAGGAAGAACAGCTATGAATGCACAGGTCTTGCATTACTGATTCCAAGACCTTCATTCTGGAACTATCCAAGGTAATCAGTCAATGATTGGTGATTCTGTGACTGAAGGCATGATACAATGCACAACTCAACCCCACCAGCCTGAATGCTAGCCTGGCGTCTGCTAGGCATCCCTCAGACATGCCAAAGACCCCTTTCAGAGCCAGGGAGCTCTTTGTAGGCCATTCTTCCTTACCCAGGACATCTGTACACCAAGCTATACCTCACTTTGGTCACCAAAGTACCTTCAGAACAGATTCGGGATAATGAGCTATTATTCCCCTATGCCAAGTACAGCTCTGGAAGCCACCTGCCTTTCATCAGAGACACCAAGCAGTTTGACCATAGCTGTGCAAAAGCAATCAGCACAGGGATAAATGAAGGTTTACAAATGAAAAGGCAGGACATTAAGAGCCTAGATGTGGACTACTCTGCAGAGAGGCTAATGTAAAGGATTTCTTTAGTAGAAGAGAATGTGGCTGTGGTATGACAAGGACTATACTGGGCTCTCTGGACACAGAGATGAATTCCTGGCCCCTGTGGGCAAGCCCAGGTGGTGGCTTGCTGGTTAAAGTCATTGGGAGTGGGGGCCTAACATGTTCCAAGATGCCAGTTCCAAAACATTTGCTGCTTCTGCTGACAAATATCAAACCTATTAATTAAACATCTACCAGCAGTCGGCTCCCTCACTCTGCTTTGCTGGTTTCATCAATCTCACTCATTGTAAAACAGGACCCTGGACAGGTCTAGCAGGAAGGCAACTGTCTGATTATTTAGCATCTGTTAAGATTGGACACAGTGCTTTTGCTGAATATTAAACCCTGACTAGGCACAGAGACTAAGACAAAAAAAGAAAATCCATTGTTATGGTTTAGATTTAAAACGATCCTCAAAAGTCTCATGTATTCAGAGGTGGGGCTTTGGAAGGGTGACTGGATAATGAGGTGCTAAACTGATGACTTCATAGCTGGATGTGATGTTAGGAGGTATGGCCTGGTCAAAAGAGGTGGGTCACTGAGGATGTAACACATCCTCAGTAATTCTTGTCCTCAGCTCTTCCTCTCTGTCTACTGCCTGACTGCCATGAGGTAAGCAATTCTCCTCCTCTGTCAAGTCATTCTAGTACACTGCTTCTGCCTTGGAGCCAGACAACCATGGACTGAACCCAATGGAACTGTGAGCCAAATAAACCTCTCCTCCTATAAATTGTGGGTCTCAAGTATTTTATCCCAGCAATGGAAAAGTGACTGAAACCCTTGGCCAAAACCCCTAATTCCCCCAAACACTAGAATAAAAAGGTTTTGCTGACACTAGAAAAGGAAGAACATTTGCTTAAATTTTTTTTTTTCTTGTAAAGAGTAACCTCTCACTTAATGGACCATTTTATGCTGGTGCTTTTGAGTATTACTAACTTGGGTTTATTTCTTTTTGGATTCAGAGAAGGGGTCTCTGCTTTCTTTCTTGTCCTATTGTTCCACTTCTTGCAGTGCCCTTGATTTTTTTTTGTTGTTGTTGCCAGTTTCAGGGTCTAATTTTTTTTAGTATCTTGGCCAACATAATCCCAGGAAACAATTGTAATTTTGAGGCCAGTTTGGGCAACTTAGTGAGAACCTGTCTCAAAATTTTAAAGAGGGTGGGGGCGCTAGAGATGTAGCTCAGTGGTTGCGCACTTGCCTAACATGCACAAGGCCCTGGGTTCAGTCCTCAGTATAGTGGTTCCTCAGTTCAGGAGTGCTTCTGTTAGCAAATAATTTGGTTTTCAAAAACAAAATTTTGTGTGACAAAATTTTGCTTCTCTTCACAAACTCATTGGGTGGATATTTTAAACATGCTCTGAGTCCCCAAGTCACAAAGTTTAGCAGGCAGCACAGAAGAGAAATTGGGAGAGGGTGGGTGATGAGTGCCTACCTGTGGGGGTGGAGTTAGGAAAGAACCTGGTTTTATGGCTTAGCTGGGTGAACTCAGCACCCAGATGTCTAATCTGACTGTACATGCAAAGAGCAATCAGTCGTTTTATCTTTTCTCCCAGGGCCACCAATCTCAAGTTTTCATTTCTTGATCTCTTCATCTGCCTTTGGACTCAACCTTGGTTTTTATTTACAGAAATTTCACCGTCCATCCATTTGCTCCAAGGATCAGTAACATGAGAGTGAAATTCCACAGTGTGTGGGGCACAGGCATGTGGTTACAGGTGTGTCCTAGCACCACATGCTGAATCCCGAAGAATGAAATCCAATTCACTCATGAGGGGGAGAAGACTTTGTGATGTGTCAAAGCAACACATGAGGGAGGTGGCCTTGTGCTGCCTGAAGTCCCAAGTGGGTCCCATTTCCGACCCGGGGATTTAGAAGGCAAGGGCTGTGAATGCTAAAAGTTGTGCCTGTGGTGGGAAAATGATGTAGGCAAGCCCCATATGAGCTGGCTCAGAAGGCTTTCATCTACCATAGATTTCTGTGTGGTTCTCAGCTGTAAGAGCAGAGGCCAGAAGGGAGCAGGGCAGTAGAAGATTAAAGGACCACAGAGAACGGTGGAGGGTTCTCTATTCCTCCCAGAAGCCAAACTCAATCTCGTGGTGTCAGCAAGTATGGGTCTAGTGTATGCACTGCTGAAGAGAGTACAGCCAGTACGGATCTAGAAGGGGCCTTAGAGAAGATATGAACCGATTTTCACACACACACGTGCACATGTGTAAGGGAACTAAGGTCAAAGAGATTTCCTGCACATGTTTAACAATGGAAGAGCAGGAATGAAGGTTAGTATTCCGGCATCTATCCTGGGACCTTTTCTGTGCCAGCACTCAGTCTATCCTAACTTTGAAGGTGCTCTTCCAACATTGTGAACACTGACTCCCTCCCTCCCTAGATATCCAACTCATTATGACTTCCCAGTGATGACAGGTAGCAAGCACATGGGTAATGTGCTATTTTCCCTGTGGTATGTTGGTCACCGTAGAAACAGCGAGAGAATGATAGCATCCTGGGTCCACAGAAGGCACTGCAGTGGCACTGTGAGTCTTTCCTGGATGGAACAGTTATTTTGGAAATGAAGAGGAGATTCTTTGTGATCTGATGTTTGGGGGAGTGGGGACAACCCCAGGAAGTTCCATTTCACAGAGTAGGGGAAAGCCTATGGAGCACAACAACCACAGTGTTCGAATTATGTTGGAACTATCAGTATAAATATGGGTAAACTCTCAAGCCACCATGATTTATTGATAGGTAGTGACATTCAGGGGCTGCTGCTAAGTCCTAGAACAGTCACCACCTGTGTTACAGCTCTCTTGACATCAAGGATATGGGACACAGAGCTGAACCAGGGACTGACCCTGGGCTATAAGAAAGATGTGCAAAGGCAGACACTATCATCTCCAAGGGATGTCACAGGGTCTAGCCAATGGCAGCAGTTTAATCAAGACTTGCTTAATGAGTGGATGCATGCTATGTGTCCTGTCTAGAAGTGTGACCACTTTCTGCCTATGCACAGAAGAACAGTCGGTCTGTCAGCATAAGCCCCAGTAAAGTCAGGAGATCTCCCAGCCTAAAGAAGAAATAGTCTCCAAGAGTGCTCTGTTGCCAGTCTACCTGGCCCTCTCTTCACTCATACCTTTCTCAGCTCATCCTTCTCCTTGCTGTGGGCATCCTCCAGGACCTCACGCTCCGAGTGGGCCCTCTGTAGCTCGGTGTGCAGGCTCTGCACCTCTTTCTGCAGCTGCTGGTAATGTGCCAGCTCCCTCTCCAGCTTCTCCATCTCAGTGGCGTGAGTGATGGTGACGGCAGACAACTGCTCCAACAGGGTCTTATGCTCTTTGTTCTGCAGAGAACATCGGCAAGCAGTTAGAGGGGAAGAGGAGGTGGAAAGAAATGATTAGTTACCAAGCAAGGAAGAGGTGTAAAGGCCATCAGAAAAAGACTTCCAAGGTGGAATGAAATTTCACAATCATAACATGCCTGAGAGCTCTCCTGCTACTTCCCTAACAAAGCTTCATTGTGAACTAGGAAAAAAGAGGAGCTCACAAAGTAGCAATCCTAACATTAAATAGTCCAAGGGCTTTAGTGAGCGCTCACACAGCTGGCTAACGGCAGTTCTGTGTTGGACTCGAAGAACCTCTACCTGGTTTGGAAGTTTCAGAAACAATGTAGCTAGCTCCCTGGATTTGAAGTCTTGGATTTTTAGGAATCCCTGCCCTTTTACACTGAGCCCTCCTGCCTTGGAGTTGCTAGCACAAAAAGCTGCAACCTAATTGCTGGATCTGAGACAAAGGACCCCTTCAGTATCCCCTCTTCCAAGATGGCCCCCTACAGAGGGCCAAGAGCCCCCACTCAGATCTTTCTTGACACCTGTCAGCCTCGCTTATCCCACGCAACTCTGACTCAGGAGATGGAGTCTGGCACGGTCTGCCTCCACCATGACCCTGCAGACTGGATGCCCAATCACCAGCATCCTCTTGCAATCTTCCCATATAGCTAGGGGCCTGAAAACCCAGGGCTGGGGCTTAACACAGTGTAAATGATGGGCAGAAATCAGGCTGTCAGAGTTGAGGAAGCATTGGTCAAAAATGGTTAGAAGGGAAAGCAGAGAGGAGGAAGGAGGGATCTCCAAATAAGCAGGGGAACTGAATGGTCATTAATTATTCTTCATTGCTGCGCTGTGCAGGAGCTCCAAGTAAAATAGAGATATTGGCTAAAATATCAATAAGCTAGGGCATCAGAAAACAATGATTAACTCATGTCAGAAATTAGTCTTCAGGGAAAGCAATGAGGAGCAGTGAAAGAAACACAGTTGGAGCCCATAAAACACCACAAACAACATAACCTACACGTAAGCATGCTAGCAGCACTTTTTCTGCATGAATATAGCAGGACAAGATTTACCCACCCTTTGTGGAACCCTGTAGGGCAGTGATGGCAAAAATTATAGAGCTTTTAATGACACCAGCCTGCTGTGGCATGTGTGCCATAGGTTCACCATCACTGCTCTAGAGTAAAGCCTATTCCCACACCTTGTCTGGCTGTTGGCCTCACCCTAAAGAATCACAGAGAAGAAATCCAATTAAGTAGCATTTATTCAGAAAGACCAATACGTTTCTCAACAGCCTATCTGGGTCTCCTCTGGAGGCTGAGTCCAGAGGGGAGGGCATGCTGGCCTGGCCACCCTCTCTCTCTCTCTCTCTCTCTCTCTCTCTCATCTCTGCTCTGGACTGGAGCTCAGGTTCACCCCAGTTGTTGCCTCCTGTGGCACAGCCTAGGTTGGATCACTAAGGTGGAAAGGAAGAATGAGTTGGGGTCCCCAGGTGGAGCCGGGTGGAGAGTGGAGAAGACATACATGGTAGTGATGGCAGGAGAACACAGGCATATACACTGCTAAGGGCAAATACGACAACTTGGGACCTCGATGCAAAGTATGCATGTGTGCACCCCAGCTTTCCAGATCCTGACATTGCCAGAGGCCAGGGAGTTCAGAGCAGCTGAAGCTGGGCAGACCCATGCTGGAAGCCCAGCTCTGCCCTTGATTCTCTGTGCATGTCTGACCTAGTTACCAACTTCCTCATGTGATAGGAACTCCCATCTATGAGAGGTGTTATCAAGCTGTACAGGATGAAGTGCTTAGGTGGGTGCCGGGCATACACTAAGTGCTCTACAAACATGTGATCCTTGCTGTCCGGAGTTCTCCAGGGAGGGCCATGGAGAGCTGCCTGGGGTGTGGATGAGAAAGTCTCACAGCCAAGCCTGGGGAGCTCCTCCTTTCCCAGGGAAACATAAACCTCAAGGGCTCTCTGAGGCTATATGCATTGTGTTCTGAATGTATGATTTCAAAAAAGAAGCCCCCAGGAGGGCTCAGCTGGATCTTCACTCAGCCTCATGCCTGAAAGTTGCACAGTTGTGCAGCTGAGCCTGGCACAGGGTGTGACACAGGCTACTAACCTCCATCACAGAATGCTGGAGACCCTTCCTGAAATGGTGGGCTAAGCTTGCCAGAGCTGCCCTAGTCAGGGCCAGGTGGAGGCTTGGCTAGCCCTTCCCTCTGCACCAGTGAAAGCCTTTTCCTGACAACAGTGGCCTAGTCTGCCCTGGGCAGGGGCCTGGAGAGTTCTCAACAGGCCCTTACTCTCTCTCCTTGGACAAGAGGATGATTGCTGTACTCCTTTGGCTAAAGCAGACAGATCTGTCCTTAACGGACAATAAGGAACCTGTATGAGAAGATAACTTGGGCCTCTGCTGTTTGTTATTCTTCTACAAAGCTCATTTATTTTTTTCTCTCAAAGCTTCAGTCAGGCAAGGTCTTTTGTATACTTGAAATGTTTCCCCAGTATAAAGGATAAGTCATTTACCTGTTACCCAGTCAGTGACTCTAAACCTCTGCTGGCCTGTGGGGCATCTCTGTATAACCAGAAAAAGTACCACCTTTGAGGGGATGAACCCCAGAGTCTACCCTGTAGGTGGACACAGCTCCGAGGATGCAGTTTGGAAGAAAGGATTTTCCTTGTTCAGGATAGCACTGCCCCATGGCAGGGTCACATATATGGGTGCTCTAATGAATCAAAATATTGACTAAATACATTTACTGAGTGTCTAGGTACTATATATGGAGTTATATTGGTTTGCTTAATTAAGTACATAGAATGATAGTGATTTAAAAGCTATAAACTGAATCTGCATATTTGTTGGCGTTTGGGGATAAAAGATATTTAAATATAGCCTTATATTCACAAGGGTCTAAGAAACTTGATTCCCCTTCTTAAGAAGTCCTAAGTTCAAACTGGCCAAGTTACTATATGCATGTGCTTGAATAATGCCAGACTGGCAGAGTTGAGTTCATAGTCTCGATTGATTTTGGCTGAAGAATATCACACCAGAGGCTAACACTAGGGACATAAGAGCTGCTCCTAAGAACTGCCAATGCATTTGTTGCTGAGAGCTATGGAGAAGGATGTGGCTCATGACACCACAGAGCATGAAAACTCACATTAAGTATCACCTCAGCACCAGGGACAGCTCCAGTCATTGCAATCACCTCCTTCCTGATTTGTGAATCTTTTCCTTTTGCTGTTTGAGATCTTGGTGTCAAATGTGTCTCTCTCCTCTCCACTTGGGAGTATTGGCCTTAAATCATGAATTTGGGGTGCTCACCTTAACCTGGTCTTATCTTTCAATTTCCTCCCTTGTTCATTTCTTGGCAGTAGGGATACTTGTACAGGACTCCCACTTCCTGTAAATGAGACAGAACCCAGGCCACTGTCCAATGCGAATTTTGTCCACTGCCCCATGCCATTCTGACGAGTACCATGGGAAAGCCTTGCCTCTGGTGACTCTGGCACATGCATGAGTCACTAAGAATCTTATGTGTCAACAGAGTAGCTGCCTGAATTATCTCCAGGGATTACAGAGAAGAAATCCATTCATTTTAAAGAGCTGGCCCATCTTCTAAGAAATACAACAAAACAAGCAGCTTTAATATTTTCACAATGGGGCCATACAGTGGACCCATGACTTACAAACTCAACTGGTTCCTGAGGGCTGGTTGTAAGTCAAGTTGGTTGCAAGTCAATACAGCCAAGATCTGGATGTTTACCTGGGTACACGCTATAGATAGTAAGAGGCAGATGAATCTTCCATTAACCTAATTAACCCAAGTTGTTCATATGTCAGGCCAGTCATAACTTTTTTTTTGTTTTTGTTTTTTTTTGAGACAAGGTCTCACTATATAGTTGCCCAGGCTGGTCTTGAATTCACAGTGATCCTCCTACCTCAGCCTCCCCAGTGCTGGGATTACAGGCATGCGCCATGACACCCGGTTAGGCCAGTCATAACTTGAGGATCCACTGTAATTCATGTCTCACTGCCAGGCAGTTTGAACCACCAGTCGTACCTGTACATGTGCATGACTGAACCACCAGTCCTGTGCATGACTGTACCACTTCTATCACTAGTGATACAAGCTACCTCATGCGACAGTTGTGCCTGTATCACTGGCAGTTAAGCCAGGAGAAATGTATTAAACACCTGCTGGTGAAGAGTATGCTGACTCCTCATCTTCCAACAGGTTGTCAAGTACATTCTCAGACAATGGGTCACAATCTCCATTGTAAATGCCTGCCAGCCCCAAGGACAATGCTGCCTGTAGGAGAATGGACCCAAAAAACCAAGGTTAGAATCTCCTCTGGACTGAGCTGTTCTCTTCACACGTCTCAAGAGGCTCCCAATGGGTAGAGACTTAACAATTTAAAGGGTAAAGGTGAAACCATCCTGTCAAATTTTAATCCCAGCCACCTACTTACTAGCAGTGTGGCCTGAAGCAGATTACTTGCTGTCTTTGTGCCTCAGTGTCATCTTTAAAATGGGTATAAAGTTAGTATTTACCTCATGGGGATTTGGTGAGGATTTAGTGAGCCAGTGTGGGAGAATGGTACCTGGCACATGGTCAGGCAACATAGGAAGGGTGTGAGAGAGCAAGATCTAAAATCTGCCTCTCCTGACTTCCTGCTGTATCCATGGCACCCTGCTCAACATGGCAACGTCTGCCACTGTACACAGATGTTTCCCAAGCAGGGAGCTTAAAGCAAAAAGCTTTTTAAAAATAGGCTTTTTGAATCTGCTTCTTTTTGATGTTCAAGCACATGGATCACAGAATACCAGATTTATTTTTATCCTCTGGAGTCAACTTCAGAAACCAGCAAGGCCAGTGTAAAGCACTATCTGGAAACCCAGGGCTGTGGTGGGCACACAGGCTCCTGACGGGGGCAGCAGTCAATGCTTCTTGTCCTTCTAAATGCACTTTGCCTAGAAGGTTAACTGGTAAATGTGACTTTGCAATGCCTTTTCTGCTCAGTCATCAACAGTCATAATCAACAGTAAAAACTTTGGTACTCTCTGTGTTGAAATTTTTCAAACAGCCAGTGCCAGAAACCAGATCTTTTCCTTGTCCCCGAGTGGGTCCCTGCCTCTCTGACCTGGTGTCACTACAGGCCAACCAGAGGCAGTTGCCAAGTATCCCCAACCAGCCCCTGCACTTTCTGTCTGGATTCCCTACTACGGAGCCCAGCATAACAAGGCTCCCTGGAGAGTTCACCAAGGAACACACCCAGGTGATGGCCGTCTCAGCTTGGTCTCGTACAAAGGCAGGCAGCAGGGACTGCCATCTGGGCACTGCTTTGGAGCTCCTATCTGGGACAGCTGGTTTACATGTAAAATGGCTCAGTTGTGTTACTATCCTATTGGGCTCATGAAGAGCTTTTAAAATGCCCAGTGTAGGTTAGGTACGGTAAAACCAAGTGACACTCAGAGCCATGCCTGGAATCCGTTCTCTCTCTCCTTTCCTTTTTTGGGAGGTATCTGAAACTCTACAGAGAACCACAGGGGCCTGGCCCTGTGGTCACCTTAACACCCTGCATGAACCAGGTGACAGCGAGTTTCCTTTCAACACTCGGAGCCCAGCTCAGTAGTTGGCCACATGCAGGATAGGACTGGCACTTAGGCAATGCTTGGGATTAACAAGTGAGCACTGTTCTTCTTATGGCTATAGGATCAGACCTGGGTGGAATCTAGGTTCTAGCACTTTCTAATTCTGCGGCCTTGGCAAGGTACTTGATGTCCCTGATCCACAACTTTTTCACCTACAAATAATCCTACAAAATCACGTGAGAATCACTTGAGAGTGAAAATAAGGCACGTCACAGGGCTTGGCACATGGGGGTGTTCAGAAGGAGAATCCATGCTACTGGCCCCAATGTACTAGGCTTCCTCCCCATATTTTAGCACCCAGTGCATGCCACTGACATCTCCTAGTCCAAACCTAACAGAGAATTGAAAACAACCAGGCACCCAACAAAGACCTTCTGAGGGGAAGGACTGGCCACTTGAGCCACCAGGGAGTAGGTGTATAGATGAGTGTGTGAGCATGTGTGAGTCTCATTCCAACCTGGATTCCACCTCAGGACTGTCTGATCCCAGAGAAGGAGCCAAGTGCTCTGTGCTTGCCTTGAATTCCTTGTACTACCTTCCACAGCAACCTGCCTCACAGAAACTTAATCAGTGGCTCCTTGCTTATTTGATTGCCTGACCTGGGAAGGTGGTCAGGCAGGCAGAGGAAAAAGTTAAAACATCCCAATAGTGGTGACCATTTCTTGAGTTGTATATCAGGCCACGGCAGTTTTTCACCTGTAAGAAGGCAGGGTGCCACCATGTACCCCATGCGGGCTACACATACAGATGAAGCGTCAGCAGAGCAGTGCAGCACGGTGACCCTGTGAAGCACTTGTTATCGCTGCTGCTCTTCAGGGGCATTGGAATAGGGCATGGGACTAGGACTTGGGGCTCATCTGTCAGTTTCCAGGTTAATGGTAAAAGACAGGTTAATGGCTCAAAAGACAAAATTGAATTTTTGTTTTTTTGTTGTTGTTGTTGTTCCAGGACCTGATCGAACTCAGGTCCTTGTACTTATAAGACAGGCAGTGAAAGCACTGAGCTAAATCCCTGGCCCTCACAATCTATTATCTTACAGTTCTAGAGGTCAGAAGTCTAAAAGGGGTCATGGTACTGTGATCCTTCAGGACATTCAAGGGACAAATCCATTTCATTGCCCTTTCTACATTCCAGATTCTACCTATAATTCTTGGCTTGTGGGCCAGTATCACTCCCATCTCTGATTCCGTCTGCATCTCTCTTCCCTGAAACTTACCTGCCAGTACCCTCTTATGAGGACACATATGATTACACTGGGTCCACCTATGTAATCCTAGCTCATCCTTCCATCTCAAGAGCCTAAACTTAATTCACATTTGCAAAGCCTTTTTTGCCCTGTGAGATAGCATATTCACAAAGCCCAGGGCCTAGTACGTGGACATCTCAGTGTGTCATTGCTCTGCCTTCCCCAGTCAGTAACAGTTCTTGCTGAGTGGGTGATACCCTGAGGACTTCTATGCTCCCTTAGGTATCTAGCATGTGCAGCTTCCCTCAAATAGTCCTGGGGCCCCAACAATGGGTAGGGAGTTCCCAGCAATGACCTGGTCGTCAATCTTGCGCTGCAGCTGGACCACTTTGTTCTCCATGCCCACATTGAGGCGTTTCAGGTGCTCTGCTGAGCGAGCCTCTATCTTGAGGGCTTTCAGCTCTTGCTTGGCTTTCAGCCTGCGGAAGGCACACTGGATGACAATGGCTGCATCCCGCAGCCGCCAGAAACACCTGCGTGCCATCCAACCCCGGGCGTGCTTCTGGATGATGGTGGCCTTGTGCTCCATGAGGACCTGGCAGGGGACAAGCACACACACTCTGTGGGTCTGCACTGTAGGAGAGGAGCAAGGGAGCTTATGTGACCATATTGGGGAGAGAGACAGATCAGCCTCAGTTGTAGGAGACAGATGTGTCACATAACATGGAAGACTCTGATGGTTGTTTTACAAACAAGCTTTAGCTAGGTTCTAAAGCCCAAGTAATCACAGAGAATCAGCTGTCAAACTCTTGCTTTTACCTTTGTTTTATTGGCCAGGGAACCACGTTATAGTCCAGTCTAAAAACCTCAGAGTTGTAAAGACCTGCTGATTATCTAATTCATCTCTCCCCATCTGATAGATGCAGGTCCCAACTCAGGGTGAAGGAGTTAGAAGATAAAGCAATGTACTTTAGTCAGAGCTGCCAACTGCATAATGGCTTATAATGTCTTGAGTTTGTTTTTCTGTCAAGTTAAAAACCATTCAGGAAATGAAAGCATCAATGTTTCTGCCTTAATACCCTGTAAAATAAATGTTCATAGGATGAATAAATAAGCAAAAATGTTGAGAGATTAATACGCCCAAAGCCACAGCTTCGTGACAGAGCTGGGAGTCATACCTAGCACTTACTCTTTGTAATGCTGCCCTCCGCTGGTTGCCTCCAAAATGTCACCTGCCCCTTTCAGGGGGGCACCACGTGGGGTAACACCAATCTCAAGCAATTCAGAGAGCCTTGTCTCACAGGCCCAGGACTCTCCATGTATTCTTTTGGGTATGTGCCACCCACCCTGATGCTTTACCACACATATTTTCTCATCATGAATTTATGGCCTTATTTTTATTATTTAGAAAACAACACATTTCTTATAGAAGAGACAGATGTTCATTTTAGGAAAACAAACATTTTACACACTTCCTCCAAGTCATCATTCACACGAGCATTATGCTTCAGTTGCACAGTGTCACTTGGTTGGCCAAATGTGTCCTGATCTATGATTACCTAACTACAGACTTCAGCCTCCCTGGAATCATGCAAAGAACAATGGCCTAGAAGGATGAGGTCAGCATTCTTTTCCCGGCCTCTCCCGAGTGGACTTTAGGCTCCTAACCTGGCCCAGAAGAGTACAGCAGCTACTAACACTTAGTACTACTTCCTGCTCTCAAATGTGAATGAGCCCAAGTCAGAATAGCAGGGTCCACTGCTAGCTGATATGTGACTCAGTTTCTCGGGCAGCTCAGGTGTCAAGGGGTATAAAGATATGTACCCTTCCTTCTTTTTTTGGTACCAGTGATCAAATATTCCCTTTTTTCTTAATGGAACCTTTAAAAAGATTTGGTGAGAGCAGAGATGTGAAAATATTTAGAAAAAAGTCAGGAACATCTAACAAATGCTCATCTCATTACTGCTGCTTTAGCTGTGAATCTGTAGCATGCAAGTCCCCCAGGGTGACTACTTACCTGGCGGTAGATTCTGCGTACAAACATGGCCCTAGCAAAGGCCTGGATGATGACAGCAGCCCTGTGGACCCTCTGGTAGGCCCGTTGGGCCCTCAACATGCGGTACTGTTTCTGGAACACCACGGCCGCACGTGTCCTTCGCAGGTGCTCAGCCAGTCTGGGGGTAGAAGATTGCAGGTGGAATCGGTGCAAGAGCACAGAGGACCCTGAGAACCCCGACACGAGCCCCTCTTTGTATTCCTACACAGACACCAAAGGCCAACACTCACCATTCTTCCCAAATGCAACCACGATGATTCTCACTCAAGTTCAGAACAGCGGAGTCAGCTTTCTCCTTGTGGCCTGAAGTCTTAGCACTGGCCCAGCCCCAGGTTGGGCTTGACACCCTCTTCGATCCTGACCCAAACGTTCCCTGTGCCTGCACCCTCAGCACTTCTCATCCTTCTGTATTTACATTTCTGTGTGTCCGTCTGTGCCTAGCGAGGCTCGAAGATATCCAGAGCCACGTCTTGATCACTCTGAACTCCTGCATCTCGCTCAGGTTCTTGAACAGCGGGTGCTGGACAAATACAGGCTGAATGATAAAAACTTTCTCTGGTCCCTAGCAATTCCCTTTTCTCATCTCACAACTTTCTGCCCATCATGCCCTGCATGTGGATCTCTTTCTTTGCTCTCATTTCTGCACTCCCTATCTCACCTCCCCAGTAAGATGAAGAGCCAGTTTGACACTTTCTACTCTTCTTAAAAGTCTTGTTTGGTGCTGGGTCACGGCAAGTACTCAAGAGGCTTAGAATGCTAAATGCTGGAAAGGACCTTGGAAATCATTTAGTAGGGCCCGGAAGAGGAGATGATATACCCAGACCACGCCATACATCCTTATGGGAATGTGTAATTCTCTGGTCCAGCTCCTTGCAAGTGTTCTCCCCCTACTTGGGCCTTGCCTATCCCTGGATCACATGTCCCTGCAGGGAAATGAAGGCCAGCTCTATTAGGTCCTCACCACCGAAGAGCCCAAGACAGAGTCCTGCACATACGGGCCTCAGTGATGATTTAATAGGGGGCATGGACTGCGGAGAAACACTTACACATTAACACTACTGTCCTCTCATTTCTACAGCTTGCGCTCCAGAGCTCCTTTCAACAGTTCAGAGGTGATTAGTGGCATTTACCCTCTCTGGACATGCTTGGATAAGCAGCTTATGGTGAGCATGAGAGGACTCAAGCACTCAAGCAAGGAGGAGTAGTCTCCTACCTTTATCCACTTTTTTTTTTTTTTTTTTTTTTTTTTTTT